TTATTTATTATTTATTATTTATTATTTATTATTTATTATTTATTATTTATTATTTATTATTATTATTTTCCTCTATATCACGACAAAGATGGCATGAGTGTGCTGAATATAAAATCTACTCCAGGTTGCATCCAGCTAGGGAGCAGCCTTAGTAGCAGATCTAGTGACTGTCGGTGCCTCTACAATAATTTGCACAAAATGTGGGCTGTTCCAAATAAAGTAATTTCTTTTACTTCCTATTCATTCAAATAACTGGGGAGTTAAGCCACGTTCTTACACAAATTTTGCTATCGGTACGACCTGTACTTTTGCGCCCCACATTCGGGTGATCTGGATTTGCAAACACTTGTATTTAAGACGTTTCTCTACCTCCTTGGTTAAGACGTTTTGATAGTAAGGCACAGCAACATCTACAAGTAGACACAATTTATTACCAAAGTACCAAAAACAGACTCTTATAAAATGTAGTTTAAATAATAATAATATAATTATTATTATTATTGTTATATTCAAATGGTTTTCCGGAAAATAATTATTTGGAAACATAAACAATGATTATGGACAAAAATATAATAACTCGTTTCGCTTTGGAGTCTAATGCAATATCAATTGGTTAAGAAAATAAATATTTTGGAGAATATATAATCTTTACCTCTATGGTTGTTTGTGCTGCCTCCCAACACTTAGTAACAGGGAAGACTCATGCAATATCATGGAAGATAACAGTGAAATATAATAACCGTCAAGTCAGCTTCACAAAAACACATGTCGGCAATTTTGCAGAACAATGCCACCACGCATATCTGTGCGAAGCACTCTTTCCCATGGTACAGGTATAAATCGAAACCTGATGAAACGTAAGAATTTCTAAACCACTTGGCCGCTTGCTCGGCACTTCATGTCTTCGTATTTCTGTACCGTACTTCCTCACGAGCTTTGGATCCGATTTGTACTATGAAACAGCAAGGTAACCGCCCCCAGAAACATCGGCTGGTCGACAGTCGAGGAGACATAATAACGCACAAATGGACTAAAAGAACAGAAGGAATGGAGAAAGCGTTCCGCGGAGGAGAACATCGAGTGAGATGGGTCCGAGACGGTGAAGAGGATTACACACAGCATAGGAAAACCCGGTGAGGCGGAAACGAGTGTGATGGAGAAAAAATATTTGTAGGGTATCACAGAAAATCAGGTTCGCACGACGTCCATAACAATGAAAACAATATCGCAACCAACGAAGTAAAGGCGTATGGAGGACGAAAGTATTGGACGCGTGGTGGATTTGGATTGCTAATAGTGGGATCGGGGCGAGGTGGGTGGTGGACTGGCGAGGCGAGAGGCGAGGCAGAGGTGTGGAGCGGGGCGGGCGCGGTGGCCAAAGCGAACGCCCGGGCGAGAGCGCGATCGCTGAAGCGAGTAGCCTTTAACGGCGATAGACTTTCTCGAGTAAGTCAAGGGTGCAGAACGCAGAGTCAATTTGGAAGTAATTCCTGCTCGAGTCCAACAAGCCAGAGCGAGGGGTCAAGGCATGCCCGCGAGTGGCGCAGGGGCGGCGGCGGCTGCCCCTGCGCACTCACCTACCTATGTGTGCGTGTGTGTGTGTATTTTGTGTGCAACCGCAAGATCATGATTCCGAGTAAAAACCAATTTGTAAAAGAGATACAAGAGAAGAAAAGAATCATTAGGTCGACAAAAAGAGAGAAAGAGTGAAGGAAGAAAATTAGTAATTAGTAACAGATAGTCTGGCTACTTACACATGGTTCAGGTTACGGGGTGACAATGGGTTTTACGACAATCAGGCAAGCACGTGGTGGTGTGGAGCGGGCGACGCCTACCGAGTGCGGTCTCTACCTGGATCGCTCGCGGGCCGAATAGGGCGGTGGCGCACAGGCGGGTGGGGCGGGCCGGCCACGGCCCGCAGTGCGCACCGCCGGAGGAGAAGGAGAAGACGACGGGGCCTGCGCCTGCGGCAGCGAGGCCCGATGGCCAGCGAACGATGCCGGGCGGCGCTGGCGGCGGCGTGTGGCGAGCGTGGCGGGGCTCGGAGCGCCGCCTCTGGAAACGCGCTTTTTTTCAGCGCGTCGACGCCGCGGGCGGCTCGGGGGGCGAGGGCGGCGAGGGTTGCAGCACGCACACGTGAGCCATGCCACGCCGTCAGAATGTCTTGAAGTGCAGTGGAGCACAAGCGCGCGAGTTCTTGTGGAGGGAGGGACGGCGGCGGCGGCGGAGGCCGGCGCTCGCAGCGGGGGTTGGGACGGTGGCGGGGGCGGGGGTGTGAGAGGCTGAGGGAAAGTGACGGCCGGAGGTCCTGCTTGTGCCGCCGGAGTAGCGTGTGGCGCGGCCCCGCGGCGGTACTGAAGGCGGCAGCAGTGCTGAAGACACTGCGACTAAGAGCGACGGCGAGCTACTCATCTGCAAATAGAACAGCATTTTTATAGACACGAGTGGAAGAGGCGCAATTGTTCACCCGAAATGTTCACATCAAAGCGAAAAGTAATGATTGATGCTTTTATTTAGGTATAACGTACTAAAAATGTTTCAGTTTGAAAAAATAATCGCGCGTACATATTAGAAATATGAAAAAAATATGAATAAGTACTTGAGAGAATTTAAATTATTTTTACTACAAAATAAACACTACATATGAACTTCGTATAAATGAAAAATATGTTAAAAATTATGAACTGAATATTGAAGCAGAAAATTTAAACTGGAAGATGAATAAATAGGAGATGCCGTCTCTTTAGATTAAACATCATTATAAATTTTAGATTAATATCATAAACGTGAAACAAATGCATTCTTTTAATACGTTAAATTGCATGTGGCTCATTGTTGAAACTTCGAAAATTATAAATCACAAACAAGAGATATTCGTGAAATAATGTACACAAACATTAAGTTATTTCTTTTTTATAGTGATATTTACTCTTATAATTCTCATAATAAAACATTTGTAAGTGTTATGTGTTGGCCATCACATTTATATAAATATTCAAACATCACTATTTCGTCTGATTGAAACTAATGCTTCACGCGGCCCTCCAGGGACATAACTGCTGGTGGATTCGATGGAAGGGTAAAGGCATCGGTTGATTGAGGTACTGAATGTGCTAAAAAAGGGAAGACCTTAAGAAAAAATCGCCGCAATGGCAATTTACGGGAATGTTTAATTTCAAATTAAAGCACATTGAAAATCGCATTTGTCGACATCGTTTCACAATATAAGCCCACATAAAAGTTGAAGTCAACTCAATATATTTTATTCGTTGCAGACGGATTATTAAGAAGAAATTTTGGAAGAGAATACAGCAAGAAAACTGTACACAATCGTCAGACAACAATGTTCGTATTGACCTCTTAGAATGCTCTTCCTTGCCAAAACAAGAAACTTGGTATTTAAATGGCAAATATCACCGACTCATTCCATAAAATATGCCAAAATATACTTCGTTGATCTTTAATTACTATTTAATTAAATTTATAAAATTCACAAATACAATTACAATCGAAATTTTAATTTCTCTTAAAACGAAATGGAAAATAATTTTTACATCTTTCACATCTTACAAGTAGCATCCATTTTCTTTCTCACTCATAATATAGTTGAAATTTATTACATCTAATATATGTTTACCTTTACATACAATTGCAAAAAACATGCTAGAAATTCAGATTTTGTTCTGAAATGTTTGGTATTGTTTTATAACAATGGTGGTAAACTACTTCATGACTACTTGAAATGGGCCTCTAAAGTAAACCACATGTGACTTTACATGGAAGTGGAGGGACTTTCCAAATTTCTTCATTCTGTGTTAGGTAGAATTTCGTATAGCACTTATGACAAGTTTCGAACCTTGAGGTTTTTCTTTCATTTTCGCTTTAGCTGCGGGCCAAAGCAGACGTTCCACTGGTAGCAATGTACGTTGGTGCTTGTTCGTCGTTACTTCGTCGATCAGTGTCTGCGAAAAGTGTTAGAACTAAGTAAAGTATTAATGGCACTGCTAGTGATCTGTCACTGTACCACAGTCACTTCAATTAGTGAGTACAGCGCTTCCGAGTCGTGCGTGATTACCTCAATCAGTGAAGATCGTTTCCCCACCGGCTGAGATTAGCTCAAAGCCAGAATTGTTGTTGTCTCTACAACAACTGATCGTGAGTTCTAAAATTTTAGTTCCGACGGTGGCGCATTTTCGGCACTAGGTGAAATACAGCCGCTCTCTGGAGGAGAATCCTAGTGGTCGGTTGCTTGATCGGTAGTTTTGCGTGGTTTCTCCGATTAATACCATGCGAATGCCAAAGCAGTACCCTTACAAAAATGCCAAGGATCTTACACAATTTTTCCTTTTTGTTCTAATCGCTTCCCTTACACACACTCACATCCATCACTCTCACTTACATGCACTGCACTTCTACATATGTCGGGAGACCAGTCGGGAACTTAAAGATTGTCTCGACTGGGGTGGTGCTTCAGTGGGAGGAGATATCTGGGAAGGGAAATCTTCCGCAACCCGATCCGTACGTCGGCAGAGGATCTCACTACCCTGCGGGTAAGGAATCAACGCATCCTTGAGGGCTAAAATAAACTAATGGGTCTGATGACCATCATAGATGACTTGCTTGGGAACAACAACCTATCAATCAATAAATATTCCTTCCTCCTATTAATGAGCGCCAAAATCAATGCCACCACAGCGAAAATATTCAAATTGGTCTCAATCTCATTCAACGAAGTCGTACAATCCTCGCCAACAATCTTCATGTAGTCATACGCTCCAGGTAAACCCACTAACTTTCAAATGAGTGCGTTTCACACGCCCCCTCCACTTTCACCAAAGGACACAACCTCCCTTGCTCCACTATAGGCATTCTACCTACCTTTCAGGCCACTGTTGGAGCGCTACTCCCTAAAGATCGATAGAGAACTCCGAATGCAAACGCGTTACAACTCAAGGTAACATCGAACACAATAGTGACACGAAGCATAAAGTAACCCATAATCCCATTAGTAACGAAAAAGTAAGAATGAACAATAACAATGTATCTACATTGTAGGAATTACCAAGCTCCACAATCATCAATCTAACCATCACTCACGGGGATGCCGAACGAATGACTTTGCAGACATATTTCCACATATACTTCAATTCCAAGCCCCCTTTCATCTTCAGCAATTTTTAAAAAATATTAAAAAATAATACAATTTCAACTCTATGACACAGGAACACACGAAACACGAACACACACAACAACACATTAAAATCATTCTACCCGCTCCAAAGAACCATTGCCAAAACATTTCCCACCCTCACCCCCAATATTTCTTCTTTTCACCGTAAGCTCAACGAAATCCAGTAAATGGCTACTTCCTCCGTTTTTAACATACCTAAACGACATAAAAACACTAATTAAAAAACTCCCTTATAGCAAGGCCCCCCGACTCGACAATATTGGTTAATAATCATAAAAACCTACCAACCTGAGCTTTCTTAAACAATATCTATAATTCAATTTTAAGAACTCGATACTTCTCTCAAACTTGGAAGCACAAAATAATCCCCCATCCCCAAACCAAACAAAAACCACTACGAAGGTATTTTTACACTTAATTTGGAGTTCTTCTTCTCTGGAAAGTTCATCGATCGTCGGAGCACTCGCTGTTCGCCAAATCGTTCCATTTTGTACAACTTCCCCTGCCTACTCTCTCTCCTCTCTCTCTCTCTCTCTCTCTCTCTCTCTCTCTCTCTCTCTATCTTCTAGATCTCTCTCTCTATTATGCTATCTCTCTCTCCTCCTCTATCCTATCTATGCTCTCTCTCTATCATCTATCTCTCTCTCCTCTATCTCTCTCTCTCTCATCTCTCTCTCCTCTCTATCTATCTATCTCTCTCTTATCTATCTAATCTATCCTCTCTCTATCTTCTATCTCTCTCTATCTATCTATCTCTCTCTAACTACTATCTCTCTCTCTCTCTCTTCTCTATTCTCTAATCTCTATATCTCTTTATAATCTCTAATATCTCTATATCTCTATATCTCTATATCCTATATCTTCTATATCTCTCTATAGTCTCTATATCTCTATATCTTTATTCTATATCTCTATATCTCGTATATCTCTATATCTTATATCTCTATATCTCTATATCTCTATATCTCTAATATCTCTATATCTCTATATCTCTATATCTCTATATCTCTATATCTCTATATCTCTATATTCTAATATCTCTATATCTCTATATCTCTATATTCTATATCTCTTATATCTTCTATATCTTAATAATGCTTCTATATTCTATTCTCTATATCTCTATTCTCTATAATCTCTATATCTCTATATCTCTATATCTTCTATATCTCTATATCTCTATAATCTCTATATCTCTATATTTTTATATCTCTATATCTCTATATCTCTATATCTCTCATTATCTCTATATCTCTATATCTCTATCTCTCTCTCTCTCTATCTCTCTCTCTTATCTCTATCTCTATCTCTATCTCTATCTCTACCTCTCCTCTACTCTACTCTATCTCTATCATCTAATCCTTATCTCTCTCTCTACTTATCTCTATTTTTATCCTATCTCTATCTCTTACGCTTATCTCTATCTCTATCTCTATCTCTATCTCTATCTCTATCTCTATCTTTATCTCTATCTCTATCTCTATCTCTATCTCTATCTCTCTCTCTCTCTCTCTCTCTCTCTCCACTTCCCTATTTTTTACAAGCGCCTCCCTCCGCGTAATATTTCCTCTCACAGCTAAAAAAATATGTGAGGGATGGAGAGCCCTCATGTTCGCCAAAAGTCAGTTAAGCACGCATGTAAGGCACTACAATATTTTGGAGAATCCGTTCTTATGTTCCCTGTGCATTTAAAAGCTTCACACGCTTTGAATGGATGCTGTACTGCTGGAAGCACTGTTGACGGGAGACGTGGAAAGGCGGAAGATGGCGGCCCCTTCAAATACTGCGGGCTACTCCAACGGCGAGGAGCGGCGAGTCCTCCGAAGAAGTCAGTGGATACCCAATCTGGCGGATATGCTGCCACCGGCAACCATCCTGTGCACATCTTAGGCGTCTTTTCGGCTCTTTTATCTTCCTTTTCAGCTCTTACTCACCTGACACACATGCCAACGCGCATCTCTTGGAGCAGTTTACGTTGTATTATCGTCTCTACGTGTCAGACATTCTACTTTCCCAATTTCACCGTTTCACTGCGATAATTTAGCCTATATTAATCACAACTTCAGTTTCAACCCTCCTAAATACCGTCATCTCCTCCAATTCACCTGTACTTAATGTGGTGTGTCAAACTTCTTTTATTTTGCACCTTTTTCTATTCCAAGCTGACACTGACAGGCTAGTTCGCCTTTGCATCTATCGTAGCGTCGCCCATGACTGTCACTCTTCCACATACAAGTCTACTTTCCTCCCCCGCAATTGAGCATCGTCGTCGATGCATCCTCATTTCCATTTTGCCCTTCGCCTTCGGTGAGCACGGCGCGGGGCCCGGCGCCAAGGGAAGCCTCGCACTGCCGTCCAACGCAAGGCTTGCCCCGCCCTTCGCATACATGGGTCGGTGACGGTCCCGGCGCGCAATCGACTTCGCCCGCTCCGTGCCCATCCGGCCTTTATTAGTTTACTCATTCGTTAAAAAGAATTAGTCACAGTCGAAGGGGACAGACACCTCGACAAATAATTGAAGTGGCAGAAGGATGATAACGAGTTTGGTCTCGCGGCTATTTTGGGGATGAGTGTCGTTCAGAACGATGAATTTCAATCGTGACGGAGTGGCACACTTGGGTTGCGTGGACAGAATAATTCGGTAATTTGCTACATATGAAAAATTGAATTTTTCACCTGAAAACCAGTGAATAGAAACGAAGGGAACATTCCGGTCCCTTGCCGTATGCTACTTTGGGACGTTCACAAAACACAGCAAAAAGTGATACATATACCAGTAATATATTACTTTCTGATACTCGTATTCTATTTCTTTCTTACATTGTCTAGTATTATTTCTTATACTCGTGAGATTGTATACATAATTGTAAGATTGTATTCATAATTGATGTCAACATAGTTGACGGAAATACGCATTTTGAGTGTCTCCGAGTCTGAAATAGAGTTTCTACTTTCTCGTATACGTAATTGTATACGTAGTATACAGAAAGTTATGTAATGCTGCGGAAAATTGATATCGAAATTTCAATGAAAATACACGTTTTAGGGTCCCTTGTTACGGAAAAAGTGTTGTTTATTTTAAACGTCCGTCCGTCTGTCTATCTGTTTGTAAACATCACTAGCGCCTAAACCGTAAGTAGTATTTTCTCAAAAATGGATATTCCCTGATCGATCTAACTCGACTCGAGGTATTGCGATTTCGAAAACTTTCTTCAAAATTCGGGGGTATTTGAAAATTTTGAAAATTTTCTCAAAAACCGCTGCAATTTTTTTCTTTTCTTTTTGTGTAAAATACAGTAAAATACACTATAACTGTTAACTTTGAAACTTTATTGCAAAACTTTTAATTCTTTTCGGCGTCTTCCAACAACTACATAACTGAAGGTATATATTTTTCCTGCAAATGAAATTTGTTGTCCATAATTAGTTCTTTCATTATGATGATGAACATTGTTTTTAAACTTTTAGTAGTTTTCGCGCAATATTGCATGCAATAACTGTAATTTAAAAAATTAGAAAAACAAGATTTTCTCAAAAACGGTTTTTTTTCTTTAAGCCTTTGGTATGTTTTTGATGGCTAAATGCACTCTATAAGATGACATAAACGCCATATTGCATTTTAAAAAATACAAAAAAATTAACTTTTTGTCTTGCCTCTCACGTCGTTAATTCCGCATTTTCAGAGACGCTTCAACGACATTTTCTCAAAAATGGCTTAACAGTTTTCTCAAACTTTTTCACCTGTACTAATTTCACTGTCAAAAATGTCAAAGTTCATTTTGCTATATTATTTTGTTTTTTAAAAAATCACACAAATGTATTTTTATAACAATACTTGTATAAGCACATTTTATGCGATTTCTAAACACTATTGAATTTACGTTTAAAAGTACCTCAAATGACTTTAAATTAGGTTTCCCGAAAACTCAAAAATGTTCAGTGTAAAGAGCTTCAAATTTCGCATTTACAGAAACGCTTAAACGCCATTTTCTTAAAAACGGCTCCAAATTTTTCAATGAAAATTGCCATTTATGACGAGGTTCAATGGATGGGAAGTTTCTTTACAAGCTTCAAAATTGTCGACCGATGTGGAATATTCACGCCCCGACATTTCTTAATAAACCTCTTGCGGCACTTACTGGCAGACTTAAGTGGAACGACAGTGTCGAAAAGAAACGTTCTCGCTTCAAGGAAAATGTCATGATCCACAGTTGAACGCTCTCGGGACGCTGGTGTATCGGCCCCGGGCGCCGAACGACCAACGCGCCCGATGAACGGGGTCCTTGTTGACAAGTTCCCGGGGAACTGAGGGCTCGGTCGCTGTGGCAAACGGCGCGTCTTCGGCGTAAGTATAAATAAACGTCCGGTATTAGGAAACCGAAAACTGAGAAAATGTCAAAAAATGTGCTTGAGAGTCGATAGATGGCAGTTGGCAAGAGGATGGGATAAGACCGTATAGCCAGTCCACACCAAGGAAATTAGAAAACATTACTTCGATAAAGTCTGTACCATTATGTAGCACCACTACTTAAATAATGTTTTACTATCCGTCAAATTGACAACACTGACACCTAAATGGTATGCAGGTATAGTTTGCATGATGATACTTTTCTAAAGCCTTTAGAATATATTTAAACAATTCTCAAAAATTCTTCCAAATATGGTGTTCAAAGAATATAAAACTTGCGCCTATAATTTTAGTATACCCTCCATCATGAAAAATCATCTAAACGGAATTACGGTAGTTTTATTTTGTGCAACGAAAGTCAAATTCAAATACCGGTAGTTAAATTTTCTGGACATTCCCTTATTACGCAAGAAGAAACCACAGTCCGGCTCGAGCTGCCGAGGTGAACACTTCGTGTTGAGGCAGCTCTTATCTTCAGACGTTCCTGCCGCTCAGAGGGTAGTTCGTGCATCGCAGAGTTCGAAGAAAAGAACCGGGGCTGTCGGTGCCGCCGGTGCCGGGTCGAAGGTGCAAAAGTGTACCTTTAAACTGTTGTTCAGTTTTGTAGTGAGAGTGAAATAGAATTACTAGTGAAGTGAACCACGTGTTAAACGGCGATGTCCCCCTATGGGTACATATCTCTAGGTCAGTGCAAATATTAAACAATGAAAGTGCAGAAGAAATGTACATAGACCCAAACAGTGCTCCCGCAACTATGGGGGTCGAGTTCGCAAAAATTCAACAACAATACGAGCAACTACTACATCAACATAAAATATCGCAAAATCAGCTTCAGAAGCAAATACAGCAAAACCAAATGCTACTTTACCAAATCCAGCAATTCGAGCTTCAAGACCAAGGTAAGAGAATAAGCGAGCCAGCTGTTCACACCCCTGCGCAAAACAGTGAAAATACTTTGCCCCCAAAACAAAAAACGAAAGCTTTCGTAGAACAAAAACACAAAGACAAGTAAGACCAACATCAAGTCAATGGAATATAATATACCTACTCACTCAAGGTTCACTCCACTCGGTGAAGAAGAAGAAGAAGATGAAGTAATAGAAAAGTCAGTAGGTACGAAAGAGAACAATATTAAAATTCCACCAATATTCGTTCATATGGCTAGCAACGAGTATTTAACACTACTACAGCACTTAAATTCAGCTACAATAAATGACATTCTAACTAAACCAAATGGCGAGAACACGAAAGTGAACTTCACTTCTAAAATCAATGACTTTAGAAAATTTAGAAAATATTGTGAAGAAAACAACATCGAATTTCGCACGTATCGTGAACCAAGTACTAAAGTGTTATCTGCAGTAATAAAAGACATCCCGACATGTTATACCGAACAAGATATTATACAAGAACTAAAAAGACAATAATATTCTGTAACTAAAGTGTGCAGACTCTATGATAAAGCCAGAAAACCTATGGAAATAATAGCAGTTCATCTTGTTGACAATCCTAAATCCAAAAATATATTTTACGAAGTCAAACTGATGAATAGTGTAATAAGAGTGCAACTAAGAAACAAACCTAACCAGCCTACTCAATGGAAGCGGTGTCAGCGATTTGGTCATATTCAGGCAAATTGCTGCAATATTCCTAGGTGCGTGAAGTGTCTCGAAAGCCATCACTACTCTCAGTGTAATAAACATCAAAATACCGCCCCTGAATGTGTTAATTGCAAAGGCGATCATACCGCCAATTACAGAGGGTGCCCAGAATTTAAGCTTTCCAAACCCTATCAAGGATAATCCCGATGACCTTTAACAGGCATTCAAAATAATCGATACATTAATGTTTGCACACCTGGACCACCACTATCTTCCCCTTCTCCTCCAGTAACACCTACATTTATTAGACAACCTCCTCCCCTTCACTCAACTGACTTTTCACTACTGCGCCGCCATTATAATTCCGCATGGAACAATATTCAACCTAATAACATTCCTGATGTAAATAATTTAGTTTCAAATTTAGTATCCCAAATAATCTCTCAATTAATATCCAAATTCCAAAATATGGTTTTAAATGTTCTTCCTAATTACTATAATGGATCCAAATGAACTAAAGGCTGTTAACCTACTTAACTTCAATGCAAATGGAATAAAGAGACAAGAAAATTCCTTCCGGCATTTCTTAAACGAGCGTAAAATAATAATAATAGCATATTTAACAGAAACTCACCTCATACCAGACGAACGTTTTTCAATATCCAATTTTAAAATTTACCGTAATGATCGGATTTCAACAAATGCTTCAGGCGGAGTAGCAATCTTAGTTTGAAAAGATATTAAACATTGTCAAGCTCCTGTTCCGCATTCAGTCGACTTAGAAGCAATAGCAATTACTATTAATTACAATAAATCGGAAGTAGTTATTATTGCAGCATATAAACCACCTAACAAAAACTTTCCAACAGAATACGGCAAAATCTTTTTTCAATATCCCCGATTTATATTGATGGGTGACTTAAATAGCAAAAACACAGCCTGGGGCTGCAATGTGACTACACATGAAGCTGCCAAACTGCTTAGTCTCATTAATGCAAGCGTTTACAACATTAGTATTCATGCCCCTATAGAACCCACCCTCTACCCAACAGATCCAAACAAGAGAGCAGACATTCTAGACATAATCCTTACAAAAGATATAACCCAATCCATCTATCAAAAAGTAGTACTGGATTTAGATTCTGACCAATCTCCCATTCTCATATTGTTGGGTACCCCGACACACTCTTTAGAGAAAATACCGAAAGAAATCAATGGTGAAATTAACTGGAATCATTTCCGTGACTTAATAACTAACAGTTTAACGTACCCACGTAACATGATCTCAACTGAAGACATAGATATTGAATTAAACAAAATCACTAACTGCATCAACAGTCAATAAAATACGCACATGTACCTTTCTATCAGATATAGAGA